AAACTGTAAAAGGAAAAAAAGGAAAAAACAAGTTAATTGAAGAATACCTGGAGTTGTGAAAATGTATTGTCATGTAGAGATTTGGACAAGGTGATGCAAACAGACACGAGTAGCGTGAAATAAAAACTTTTTTTTTTTAAAGTCAATAGAAACAAACTCAAGGAGACCATGGAGGAGAGCCGGACCCAACACAAAAACGATGCTCGACTGCAGGTGGAGTGAAAACTGATGACTACATGGTCTGGGGCTGATGAACAGAGTGGAGACACCTGGGCGCAGGTGAGAGTGGGCGGGGCAGGAGCTCACAAAAGAGCACACCCCAAAAAACAAACAACAAAAAGTTAAACACAAAAAGAACTTCCACAACAGAACCAAAAATCAATCCTGACATTTCTAACTTTAAAACTTCCGTGTGAGTTTTGCTTTTACTGAAAAGTGGCATCAACTCACGTTTCTGGAGAGTTCTGTGATTTGGATTCATGACTCAGTTGAACCTGCAAACTCTGACACAGAAGCTAAAATCTGTCTTGTGTTCCCTCACAGATGGAGCTTTTGTTCTTGTGTACTTCCTGTGTAAATGTCTGGGACCAGCTGATGGGCAGGGCCGTAAAGTGGGGGGGCCAACGGCCCCCTGGTTCCAGTAAAACTTCCCTGCCATAGAACTATAAAAAAGTTGATATATTTCAGATTCTTCACCTCGTTGCTGTTCAACCCAGAGTTGTAGATGAAAATCTTTAGTTGATCAATCAGAAAGTTGTAGCTGATCACTTTGATCGATTAGTAGAGAGTTGCAGCAGTCAATGACTCTCGGCTACCTGACCAAATTTTAGCTCACTATCTGTAAACTCTACCTTCCTTTTTTTTTAAGTTAGCTGTAGTGGTAATTTTGAAGCAGGTAAATTCATATCTTTCTAGGGGTTTGTGATATTTTGCTAACAAAGGCACAAAACATTGTTGCTCGTCTTTCTTGCCCTCTCTACGTCGATGCAGCCACTTGATGTTGTGACTCTGCAGAAATCTGTGCCGAAGACAAGTCGGCGGTGAAGCAACGAGCAGGTAGACAGGTGATTGATGACCGATCAGCTGCAGCTGTCTGCCTGACTGAGACTCGGTGGCAGCCGTCACTTTGATGAATTACTGCGCGGAGAGAAACCCACCGCTCTGTGATTACAGCCGGTAGATGCAGCTCTGCAGTTGTTTCCATGCTGATCCACCATCGGTGCCTCACACACCTGAAATCTGTTTATTATTCTGCTGCAGGAAGATCATCCCCACCTGTCCTGAAACACTTGATTTGTTCAGATTTAGCATGCTGGGTGACAGGCGTGTTGGTTTTCTTTGCTCCATCAGTAACAGGATCGCTGAATAATTGATGCTGATGAAGGCCACAGTCTCTCATACTGAGATTTTGTCATTTTATTCACTAAAATCATCTATGTTGTGAGCAGAAACAAGGAAATCCAGCCTCAGCTCCAGGGTTTAATGCAGGGGCGTGGCTAGCAGTATCTAGGACCGCCCACTTTTTGGGACTTCAAAAAAACGATCGAACTGTTTTTGGGCCAAAAGAAAGTTTAATTACACTTTTTCCATATAAAAACAGTTGATACAAGTTTATGTCTTTAAAACCTGAAATTAATTTTTTACATGTTCACAAAATGTCTAAAAAAATTATTTTGGCAAACATAATTTCAGTTTTTTATTAATGATTTAAGCTAAATCTTGAAGAAAATTAAGAAAACTTATAAATATATATATCACCATAAAACATAAGGCTGCCCAGGATGACTTCTAAAAAAGGCATTTTTCAATAACTTTGGACTCATGTCAAAGAAAAAAAAATAGTACATCAAGCAAAGAAAATCCTTTCGTTGTTTTTCTCACTATTTTCACTGAAATATTTACAAAAGGAAAACAGACTTTACGTCAGTAACATTGGTAAAAAAAATGATTGCAGCTAAATAAATTACTTTAACACACATAAAAAAACTCAGGATGTTTCAAACTTTAACAAAGGTAGCTAAATAGCAAACCAATTTTTTTGTTGCTAGCAAAACTTTATACAATTGGACAGAAAGTAACAGCTGGATGATTGTCTACAACTAACTGGTGCAAAACCCCATTCAAGATGGCCGCCACAGCCAGCTGATAATAGGAAACACAAAAATAACCACAACTCCACCAGTTTAACAAACCTATAGCTGATTGTGTGGGAGTAGCGGAGTCATTGACAGCGCACACTCTCGAGGGCGACATCTCCCCGTATAACGTTTCTAGGGTTTCACCAAAACAGCTAGAACTTTTTTTTTTTATCCCGAGGCGGCTAAATGTACACAAACGCCCAAATATAAACAAAACAACAACAAGCATGGTTAAAGCCCCAGGAGGTGGAGCCCCAGGAACAACTCCAAGCTGCTGTTACGCTTTAGCAGCCTGAAAGAAGAAAGGAGTCCGTCTGTTTTCCTGTCAGTATAAACTCAGACAGGATGTGGTCTAGTCTGGATTTGGTTTCCTTGGACCACCTGCTTCTCCCACGAGAAACACCAGTCCCTCTGCTGAACCAGTTATTTATTTTACAGACCACCAAATGAACAAATAAAGGAAAGTTAAAACAGTTTCAACAAAAGACTGATGAACGTTAGTTTAGCTTCCGTATCTCAGCTCGCCTCACTCAGCAAATCAAACACATATCCCAAATGTCTGAGCTCACAAATTCTACATATTTTCCATGAATAGAGCTGGGTTTAGGCTTCCTCTCCTTTCCCCTAAAACCCACAACAATCTCTTTCATCTTACAGACATCAAGATCGAGGAAACTTGTCACAACGGTCCACAAAAGCCGATCCGGTGCCAACATCTGACTCTGAAGAGTTACGAGTAATGTGTCCTTCTGTCAAAGACCTGCAGTCGTCTGTGCACAAAATATAAAAAAAACAAGGGGTGAAAGAACACAACCCTGGGGTACCCCGTATTTGTGACCAGAACGCCCAACATGTTTACATTTACTACAACCCTGTTTACTACAAGTTCAAAGATGTTTTTAGACTAAAATAATAAAAGTGAAAAGCGATGCGTGTTTTTTCAACGAGCGCTACGTCTTTATTGTCATGATGTTACAGATGAAAAAAAAAAAGCTTTCATTAATCATTCAGATGGAAACACAACAAAACAAACATTTGATTAAAGATTTACAATAGTTAACACCTACTTTTAGGGTTTATTTAAACCCATCTGTTCCAGATGTCCCAGATTAACGTCAACTGGGTTGTTTTTTTACAACATAATCTTGTTGATTCATTTGCAAATTCTAAAGAACAGCTGTACACAGTTTCGTTCCACCTCGTGTACCACACGTGATGCGAATGACGTTGCAGATACAAACCAGAATTAATTCCAGCTAAAACAATTCTTCCTGCAGAGTAAAAGTGTTTCGTGTCTTTTCGGCCGGATGTTTCAGGCCTTCGACGTCTCGCCCGTGTGGCTCTTCATGTGACACCTCAAGGACTCGCTGCACCTGTACTTTTTGTCACATGTTGCGCAGGTGTACGGCCGCTCACCTGTGTGTACCCTCAGGTGGCTCTTCAGACTGTAGAGGCGGATGTAGCTTTTCCCGCACGTGTCGCAGGTGTGAGGCTTCTCGTTGGTGTGCGTTCTCATATGCCGTTTGAAATGCGACGGGCTAAAAAACTTGTTCCCACACAGGTTACAGGTGTGCGGTCGCACACCGGTGTGGGCTTTGATGTGGCGCTGCAGCGTGTCTCTGCATTTGTAACGCTGACCGCATATTTTACAAGAAAGACGTTTCTCGTCTGAGTGGCTCAACAGATGTCTCCTAAAGCTCGACGGGTCGGAAACGGCTTTCCCGCAGATGTTACAGAGATACGGTTTCTCCCCGGTGTGCGTCCTCTTGTGGAGCAGAAGCTTATCGCTCTGTCCAAACGTTTTCCCGCACGTCTTGCAGGTGAACGGTTTCACGGTGGTGTGGGTTCTCATGTGCTTCAATAAGGCCGACTTACAGAGACATTTGCCACAAATTTTACAAGAGCTCTGCTCACTGTGGTTCTTCTTCTGGGTTTTCTTTTTGGAGGCTTTGGTATCAGGATCTACAGATGGTCCACCTGTGTCACTATTGTTGGAAACCAGTGTCTCTGTCCAGGTGTCCTCCTCCTTAAGCTGCTCTCCACCCTGAAGGGTGCAGAGCTCCTCCTCCACCTCCTCCTTAACCTTTGACAGCTGTGGGTTATGCTCATCCACACTGGACTTCCTCTCCTGGTCAGAAAGGTGCTCATCTTCTTCCTCGTCCTCCTCTTTAATGTTTCGTTCTGGGTTGTCACGAAGCAATAAACACACAAACAAAAGTTTAAGGAAATTATTCACAGGGTAAATTCTAATTTCATAGCTAAAAATTAATATTTTTAAATATATATTTGTTGTGATTTCACGCCTCTGGTGGCAAAATAGTGAAATTTTTTTTGCTTGTGTCTGTGCATTTGTTTGTCCATACCACTACTAACGTATCTCACAGAAGACTGGACAGATTTGAACAAAATTTTAAAATAAATGTTCATCTACAAATCATTGTTTGGAGTCTACCTAAATCAAAACAGCTGCCATGGCTAACTGACCTTAAAACTTTGATCAAAATGGCTACAACACTGTCACTTATCAACACAAGATGTGCAACAACAAAAACTTCTATGACTGTGTGATGCTCAGTAAGTGTTCAGGATGACTCTCAGCTACTACCACCCCTAATTTTTAATGCTTTATCAATTTAAAAAAAAAAAGAGTCGTAGCCCCTTTTGTGTTGACTAGAGTTGATTAGCTGTGGCAGCCATCTAGAAAAGAAGTGACTCCCACATTTAATAAGTTTTTGGTATAAGCCTCATCGTTGCTTGCGGAGTTCAGTGGTTCAAAAGAAATTCTGCTAACAGACAGGCTAATACATTTCTATGCTGATGACACAGTTGTTTATTGTCGAGCTAAAACAGTTGCTAAGGCTTTCCAGCTTTTGAAATCTGCATTCAACAACATCCAGACAGATTTGTTCCGCCTCAAACTTGTCCTAAATGCCGACAAAACCAAAGGGATGCTTTTTTAAAACAGGAAGTCGGTCCCAGCAGTTCTTCCTCTGATCTCATCCTCAAATGGTGTCCCCATTGAGTTTGTTGATTCCTATAAATATTTGGGTATCTTGGTCGACTCACATCTCTCCTTTAAGCTCCATGTGGAAAACTTGTTAAAGAAACTGACAGTTAAACTGGGTTTCTTTTTCAGAAACAGATCCTGTCTAACCCAGGGATGTGAAGAAATAAACTTTCTACACTTTGATCCTCAACAAAACGACTAAATACAACAGGATCGATTGTCGACTGGAAGAGACGTTCATTCTTGAGTTAAATATTTATCTAGACTGGTCCTGGGGGTTTTGATCTGCTCAGAGACGGGATTATAATGAAATTATGACCCAGTTCTGACTGATCAAAACCCCCAGGACCAGTCTAGATAAATATCTAACAGTTGTGACGTCATGACGTAGCTCAGCGCCGTAAACAACCTTTAAGTACTGCAGATACTTTATATGCATGTTCCTGAACGACACTCTCATCCAACCTGATTTATTTTTTTGGTAATTTACATAAATAAATTAGAGATTATATTTTTTAATGACTCTTTAGGAGTATTTATCGTTTTTCGTACCGACTTGGCGCAGCTTCTTCTCGCGCTCCATGACGACGTCCATCATTTTGTTCTGCAGACGGATCTGCTCTTCACACTGGACGATCCTGTTTTCACACTCAGCCGAGATGTCCTGCCCGGCTGCGGCCAGCCGCCGCCTGATAAACTCCCTATAGTTTTGGATGGAAGCCATTTTACTTTAAAAACTAGAAAACTGCACGCGCAAGCTTCCACTGAGCTAACGCTAGCAACAGATCTGCTATACACCGGAAGTTGTCTTCTGCTTTGTTGGTATGCGGAAGTGTAGACACGTGTAATGGCGCCCCCTGCAGGTGGAAAAAATACACGTCAATGTCAATGTGAATTTATTTATTTAACACGTCAAAACAACAAAAGCTGACCAGTCATTTACAGTTAAGACAGATAAAAGGAGTAAAAAAAAAATGCATCTAGTGCCACTCAAAAACATAAAAAAGTTACCAACAACAATAAAAATCAGCTCGTCAAACAGATTCTAACATACAGAAATTTAAGAATTTTACAAAGTATATTGCATTGTTCTCCAAGTTTATATATATATAAAACAATTTGTAGTCTTAATTTTGTTATTAGGATTAAAAAAAAGTTGTACATTATCTGGCCATGTCTACAATTCTCACTATTTTTAATATTTGTCATCGATGAGGCCGTGATGTTTTGGCCTTTGTCTGTTAGCAAAATACCCCAGGAACCACCGGAGAGATTATAATGAAAATTTCAGGAAATGATCATAGAACATAATCAACAACAGTAAACACAGAAGTGGCTACAACGAGGATAATTTGATCAATATTTGGCTAGATTTTGGGGTGGTAGTAGCTGGGAATCATCCCCAACACGTACTTTGAGCCCTCACAGATCATATTAAATATAAACTGTCATGAACGCAGTCTACAAGGAACGCTGGCTTTGTTTGTTTGTGTGCATCTAAACAACACAAAACAGTTGTTTATCTTGTATGCATGGCCAAAGTAACATTACATTTGATTCATTATTAGCTTTATTATCAATTTGAGGCTGTTTTGGCTGTGAACGCAGAGTGAAAAGCATCATTATAATTATTGTCCTGTACATCAGCAGAGCAGCATCAGGCTGATGTGTTTTATGGAGAGACTAAATAAAGTCTCGGGCGTCCATCAGGCAGTGGGTTGTGAAGTAAAGGAGACGGACGAGCAGGACCTCGGTGCTCCCAGTCCTGGACGTAATGAAGCTGTTTTACTGCCAGACACACACTCTTTCTCCTGCTTCCCTCCAACAAACAAACACAATAAAAGTGTTTGATAACAAAGAATAAAAAGGCAGGAAGGAAGCAACGATCCAAAACCATCATCTCATAAAAAAACATTGCATTTAATTTCCTGTTTGATGAAAACTGCTCATATTTAGAAGGAACACGAATTTGGTTCCGTTTGCTCAGAAAACGATATTTAAAACCAAATTACTTGGAGTTTCCGACCCACTAATTTAATTCCTGTTGGGCGGGGTACAAGACTTGGGGGTAAAACCTGATGAGAGCGGATCCAACAGGACCGGGGTCGTGGAGGAAACGAACTCGGACCTGGATTCATTTGAACAATAAAAAGAACGTGATGCTCTCCTGAGACAGTTTAAGGAAGAGGTAAAACAACAAAACACAAAAACTCATTTAAGGCAGACTACTTCTTGAAGAAATGCTTATCGCCCGCCACCTTCTGTGGCAGAGTTATAAACTAAAGTCAGCGCTCAGAGGACGTGTTGAGCATCACTCTCAGCTACTACCACACCAAAGTTTAGCTCAATGTCTACAAAACTGACGGCGTTTCACACACTTACTTTTGCAAAGTCGAAAAGCTGTGGCGGCCATCTTGAATTAATCAAAGTTAGTCAGTTGTAGTCGTATGTTCAGTGGTTAAAGTTTAGTTAAAATGCATCCAGTGGTTCATGAGATATTTTGCTAACAGACAAACTGGTTGGATTTAGCTATGCTGTGAAAGACTCTCAGCTACTACCACTTCAAATTTGAGCTCAATTTCTTTCAAACTGATTGACTTACAACCATTTTTATGTTTTCTAAGTTCCACTGGCTCTGGCAGCCATCTTGAATTGAATCAAGTCCAGAAGTTAATCAGTTGTAGTCGTATGTTCAGTGATTACTTCTTGAAAGTTTTGTTAATATGCATCCAGTGGTTCATGAGATATTTTGCTAACAGACAGACTGGATGGATTCAAAGAGCTAGAGCTATTGTTTTAAACAAGGATGTTGCTCCATGCATAGTGCTTATAGTATATGTTGTGAAAGACTCTCAGCTACTACCATTTTAAATTTGAGCTCAATATCTTTTAAACTGATTGACTTACGACCATTTTTGCGTTTTCTAAATTCCGTTGGCTGTGGCGATCATCTTGGATTGTGTTGTCTCCACAAGCTAATCATTTATAGATGTCAGTTCTTTGATTATCTTCTGAAAGTTTCATTAAAATCCGTCCTTTAGTTCTTTGGGTATTTTGCTAACAGACACACTCCACCACCATGATCACATACACTAACAGACACAGGCAACAAATACAACCGATACGGTAAAAAAAAAGTTTTTTATTAACAATCATATAATTGAGAATGCTATAAAACAGTGTTTTCAGCAGGTTTAAACATTCAGATTTGTTTTAAAAGATGAATCACGAAAACCTCTTCGCTAAAAATAAACATTTATTTTACTTCTCTGTAAACTGTTTATTTATAATCTCATAACTTTCACTGCAGATGGAAAGTAAAGAGTTTATGACTGACAGGAGATTATTAGTGTGTGTGTGCGTCTACTTTTGCTCTTCACTGTCCTTCAGCTGTGCCACAATTTAATTTACATACTCATAAATCATTCATGTCAGACACACACACACACGCACGCACGCACGCACGCACGCACGCACGCACACACACACACACACACACCTGGGTTCTTGTAAAAAACAAAGTGTGTGAATTGTTTCGGGCCGTAGGAGGGCTGGGATTGTCGGGTTGGTAAAACGTTAATTGTATCCGTCACTGATATGATGACCACCTGTGTAACCATAGCAACAAGCGTCCGTAGATGTTTGTAATCACATTGAAATAAAAGTGTTCCTGATTTGAGACGCGAGCTGGAAGAATGAGTCACAATGAGATGTTTTTAAAAAAATATTGAGTTATTATTTTCACGTTTTCCACTTAAAAAGTTTCAAAATGTTGAAGCTTCTGGTTCCCCCTTTGATGTGGTCCCCCCTCGACTACTAAAGGAGGTGTTTCCAACTCTAGGTCCGTCCATTCTTGATATAGTAAACAGTTTATCCACTGGCGTGGTGCCAAAATCCTTTAAACATGCTGCTGTCCAGCCTCTCCTGAAAAAAACAAACCTACACCCCTCAGTCGTGTTCAACTTCCGGCCTGTCTCCAAACTCCCATTTGTTTCTAAAGTACTGGAGAAAATAGTCGAGTCCCAGTTGAAGTGCTTCCTGGAGGATCACGCCATCTTAGAGCTATTCCAATCTGGCTTTAAACCTCTCCACAGCACTGAAACTGCCCTGCTGAAGGTCTTTAACGACATCTTCAGATCCACAGATAACGGTGATTCTGTGCTGCTGGTCCTGTTGGACCTCACAGCCGCCTTCGACACCATCGACCATGAGATCCTCATCGCTAGGTTGGAGCAGTGGGTGGGCGTCACAGGGTCAGCCCTCAACTGGTTCGGATCTTACCTCGCTGACAGATCCTTTGGTGTCTCCATCAAGGATTTTAGTTCTGCAGCGACAGAGCTTAAATGGGGGGTTCCGCAGGGGTCCATCCTGGGTCCCCTCCTATTCTCTCTATACCTGCTGCCGCTTGGTGCTATTTTCCGGTAACACAACATGCCCTTCCACTTCTACGCCGACGACTGTCAAATTTACTTCCCCCTAAGACACAATGGTGCATGCATGCAGCATTGGAGGCCCTTGCAGCAAAGCGCCGCTCCGGCCTTATGGCGACCGCGGCAGCTCCAGCTAGCCCACCCAGTCACCATTGCCAACGCTCTCGTGCCAAATCCCGCACGCATTCACCACGGGGCACATTTCCCAAATGTTCAACAAAGCCTTCCGTCCATGTCAGTACTTGTCTAGCTTCAGGTCTTACAAGTATAGGCGAAATCCGACCTTCCAGACCGGAGTTACTGTGACTTTCTGTTTTGTCACGAATGTTTCACGAGCACTTCCTTCATGCTTTTCAACATGTAATGTGTGGTAATGATCAGTTAGCGAACAAAGTTTCAGTGTAATATCTTATACATGGCTAAGCTGTAAGAGCCATCCAATAATCAACAGTTTTTTCTCTGAGTAGGTGGGGCTTAAGTCATGTCATGAATCAACAATACCAACGTGTCTACAAGTGCTCATTGATCAAGCACAAACAATCAGGTCCAGATCAGACGATTTATCAATAAGATATAACTTTTGGAATAATGTAGGGGGCACACTGGAGTCTAGTGTTAAACAACAATACCGATGTGTCGAGACATGTTCACTGATGACGCACAATAAATCTGGTTCAGATCGTATGATGTGTCACTGAGATATAACTGTAGGAATAATGTATGGGGCGCTGTGGAGGCTATTAGCCACTTATCATGGATTCCTGTAAAACGGGTGGATAATGATCGATCATAATGATTTTGGTGCACCTCGGTTCAAATCTGTGGAATTCATAGCCAAATGTACTGCAACAGCATCCCTTCTGAATTCGTCACGCCACCACGCCCACATCCTCCTTCGAAAACTGTTTGTAATTTAAAGTAAGTCAGACCAACTTGTTATATGTCTTCTAACACAAGATCATCCTGGTTAGGTCAAGGGTGTCAGAGACGGAGCATTCCAAGTAAAAAAAGTGACTTCCTGTTCTGAGAGGGCGGGGCTTTGATGGCGTCAGAATATGACCACAGGGGATCGTCGGGCATCCAACAGGGATGACTCATGCCAAGTTTGGTGCATTTCGGTCTTTCGATGTGAAAAATAACACTTGGAAATTTACGGTGCGAAGCGCAATTTTGAGGCCTGGCCATGCCCCTTTAGCATATATGAAAACACAAGCTTTTGATAACTTTTACTCCCCGATGTGTTAAGGGCATATTAACTCTGGGCCCCTGAGCAAGGCCCTTAACCCCCACCATCTGCTCCTTAATCAGGTCTCTCTTGAAATTGAGTTCTCATAGCTCAATGAGACTACCTGGATAAATAAAGGGGTAAATAAATTAAA